TAGGTTATGGGGGTTGTGCAGCCCCACCGAGTTGGGCCAGCGATGCCCACACCCTGGCAGGGGCTTGCCATGAGGGGGAGTTTGCGGTAGCACAGGGGTCCCTGTGTGCTGGTTGGGCTGCTGAACAGGGGACCCCTTGCTGACTGTTGCTCTGTTGCTTCCCACTGGACCCCAGACCTGCCAGGAGTCCCCTTTGTGTCCTGCAGAGCATCTGACTATGAGAACTTCTCCTGCTCCTGGACCTCCAGCGTGGAGACCTTCCTCCCCACCAGATACATCACAACCTACAGGTGATGTATACCCACAGGGCACAAGCTGGGGGGTTTACGGGGTGAGCCCTGGGTCCTGGCCAAGGATAACCACCAAATCCTGCTGGCCGTCTGTCCCACATCCTCGGTTCACCATCCTGTCCCAAGAATCATGCTGCATCCTGAAGCAGGTCATGTTTTGGAGTGAGCAGCGCACCTAGCATTTGCCTGCTCCAAGGGGGGCCCCCCAGCAGCATTGTGGGGCCAGCACAGGCAGGCTCCCTCCCTGCTGACAGCTCTGCCAGCACCGCTGAGGCTACGAAAGAGAAGCAGGTCATCGGCAAGCCGCCGAGCGCTTCGGCATGCTTCGGGATAAAAGGAACCCTGACAGCATCACTGCTTCTAATTATCCCAGCAGGCCAAATTAGCAGGCTGCTTTGAAGTCAGCCGGAGCTCATAAAGCACAGCCCTGCTGAAAGCTGCAAGAGCAGGAGGTTGGGGGCCTGGCAGGGAGGGGGCAATGTGGAGCATCAGGGGCTCGGCGGGGAGGGGGTGTTGGGAGGCAGTGGGCTTTGGGGGACATAGCAGGAGAGCAAGGCCAGCTGTCAGGGTGCTGCTTTTATCAGTACCCCATACCTTTGCTGCTGCTGCGTGATGAAAGCCCAGGCAGGGGAGGGGAGTCCTTTGGGGAGGACACTCCTGGGCACCCCAGCATCTCATTCCCCTGGGAACCCCCAGCTCCCGCTGCCAGGCTGCTTGCCAGCAGGGCTGGGCACAGTTTTAGCTCCATCCCCCATGCTGTCATCTGTGTGCATCAATGTGGGAGTGGAGAGCTGCTCTGCAGTGAGGAGACCCCTGTCCCTCCTCTGGGTCACAGTGGGGTTGGCTTCATGCTGTCCCCACATCCTCACCATCTACTTTTCTGTCTCTCTCCTTGGCAGGAAGAAATCGCTGACGGGCGAAGAGAAGCGGAGGTAGGACTGACTCCCACCCCGGTAGGACTGGCCCCTGTCCCAAAGGCTCTGCCACTGTCCTCAGCAGGGTCCCCAAAGCAAGGGCTGGGCATCCCCAAGGAGGAGCCAGCTACCTAAGCCTGGGGGCTTGGGAGAAGAGTTTGCCCCAGGGAGGGACCTTCCCAGGAGGGGCTGTGGGGATAGGGTGGGGGTCCCGTAGGTCATGCTCAGAGGGCCGTGCTGGGCGCTAAAGGGATGAGGGCAGCTGAGTCTCCTCCACAGGGCTTTTGGCATGGGGCTCTCCCTGCACTGCACCTCCTTGGCAGCGCCGTGAAACTATGGATGGCGGGTGGGGGGACATGACACTTCCCCGTCTGCAGGAACAAGAATGGGCACGTGGGGCCATGCCTGCAGGATCCATCCCGTCCTGGCACCTGCACGGTCCATGGGTCAGAGTTCTGGAGCTCCTACCGCCTGAATATCACCGAGGTGAACCCGCTGGGATCCAGCTTCCGCCTCCTCGACGTCACCATGCAGGCCATCAGTGAGTCCCTGTGTGTCCCCCTGTCCATCCCTGTGTCTGTCCATCCCCTGTGCATCCAGCCTTGGGCAGTGGCAGGGAGCCCTACACCACTCTGCAGGGCAATGTGGTGTGACGAGGGCTCCCTGTCCTCTCCCACGCAGTTAAGCCAGACCCTCCAGAGGGCTTGGTGGTGGAGCCCATCCCCCTGGCCCCACGGCGGCTCCACGTGAGCTGGAAGTACCCCTCTTCCTGGCCCAAGGAGCCCCACTTCCAGCTCAGATTTCGACTCCAGTACCGGCCTGTCATCCACCGGTCCTGGTCTGTGGTAAGTGGTGGGCAAGGAAAGGCAAAGCCGGCATGGGAGCAGGGTGGGCATGGGGCCAGGGAGGGCAGCAAGGGTGCACCCTCCTGCCCCACAGCTTCCCTCTGCAGGTGGAGACAGTCAACCTCTCTGAGGTGATCACAGATGCCTTCACTGGGCTGGAGCATGTGGTTCAAGTCAGTGCCAAGGATTTCCTGGATGCGGGGAACTGGAGCGAGTGGAGCGCTGAGGCCCGGGCAACGCCAGTCAGAGGTGCGAGGGGGACAGGCTGCAACCCCAGAAGCCCTACAGCATTGGAATGGAATGGAATGGAATGGAATGGAATGGAATGGAATGGAATGGAATGGAATGGAATGGAATGGAATGGAATGGAATGGAATGGAATGGAATGGAATGGAATGGAATGGAATGGAATGGAATGGAATGGAATGGAATTCAGTTGGAAGGGACCTCCAGCCATCATCTAGTCCAACTGCCTGACCACTTCAGGGCTGACCAAAGGGCATTCCAGCCCTTCCACCAACATTGTTGTCCTCCTCTGGATGCATTCAAGTCCCTTCACATCCTTTTTAAATTGGGGGGCCCAGAACTGCACACAGCTCTCAAGGTGAGGCCACACCAACACTGAATACAGCAGGATAATCACCTCTTTTGACTGGCTGTGTTTGATGCACCCCAAGATGCAGTTTGCCCTCTGGGCTGCCAGGGCACTGCTGGCTCATGTTGAACCTCTTGCCAACCAGCACCCCTAGGCCCCTTTCTGCAGGGCTGCTCCCCAGCCACTCCTCTCCCAGTCTATACTTGTGCCCAGCGTTACTCAGTCCCAGGTGCAGAATTCGGCATTTGTTCTTGTTAAATTCCATCCCATTAATCATGGCCCAATGCTCCCATCTCTCCAGGTTCCTCTGCAAGGCCTCTTGTCCATCAGGAGAGTCAACAGCACCTCCCAGTTTGGTACCATCAGCAAGCTCGCTAATGGTGCATTCAACTCCTACATCCAGATCATTGATAAATGCATTGAACAGAACTGGCCCTAGAATTGAACCATGAGGAGCACCGCTGGTGACCAGTCACCAGCCAGATGTGGCCCCATTCACTACAGCCCTTTGAGCTCTGCCCTTCAGCCAGTTCTTCACCCAGTGCACCATGAACCCACTCATCCCCCAGTTAGACAGCCTGTTCAGAAGGATGTTGTGTGCCATCCCTCCCCAAAGCTCCTCCAGCACCCTGGGCTGCCCCTCTCCACCCATTCCCCCAAATATCACCCAGAGCAAGCCCCAGATCCTGGGGTCCATTAAAGTTGACCCAAAAAGCTGGTCGTGTGCACCATCCAGAAACTGGCCCCATGGTGGGAGGCAGAGCTGCAAGGGGGCATAGCTCCCATAGCTCCAGTAGCACCCTTGGGGCACCCTTGGGCTGGTGGGCCCCTGGGGCGCAGGGGCACCCTTCTTTGCGCCTCTGTGTGTATCCCTAGGGTGCTGCCCGTGCTTTTGGGTGAGTGATTCCTATCTCCTCTCTCCTTTCAGACCTAGCCACCGCGACGAGTGAAAAAACCACTACAGATGCCAACCTGGAGAGCATGGCTGAGGAGCCCTCCCAGGCTTCCAACCCTGAGCCCATCAGTGAGTAGGGCAGGGGGTGGTGGGCAGGAGTGGGGACTGCCTGCAGGCAGCTGCCTGCCTGAGCATACATGTGGCTGAGAGTAATGGGAGGGGTCGCTTGCCCCATGCCTGTGTGTGGCTGGGGTGCTGGGGTGTCCAGGAGCTTGCAGTAGAGTCCCCTGGGTGCTGGCAGCTATGGCATCCCTCGGCCATGACGGTCTTTCTGTCCCAGACCGCAGCGACCCCCTGGAGAAGATGGCCATCCTCGTGTCCCTTGGGATCTTTGCCTTCTTTGTCCTGGCTGCTGTTCTCATCATCACTGTCCTCATCTGGTAGGTTGGGTTTTGAGAGGAGGGGTCTGCATGATTGCTGTCCCCATCGCACTCTTGTCCCTGAACTCCCAGCATGGGGTGCCCCATCGCCCCCCAGCCCTGCTCTGGGTTCCCTTCTGAAACAGACTTGATGCCAGCCCCATAAGGTGGTTTGACCTCCCCTTGCCTCTTGGTAGGGCTTGTCCCTCCTGTATCAACGCCTCTTCCCAGCACACCCCACCAGCTGTGGCACTACCCAGCCTGCCTGGGGTTTTTCTGATGAGTCCACATCCATGGGACCTCTCTCTGTATCCCCCAGAGATGCTGCTGCTGCTGACAGCCCTGCAGAGGTCCAGAGTCAGCCAGAGACCCTTCCATATACTTTAACTCCCAGAACTGCTGTCCCGGGGCACTGCCCACTGGCCCTGTCCCCAAGTCCCCTCATACCACCACTGCTGGGCTCTCCCTGCCCCTGCCATGGATCTGTTGTGTGTCCCTGTTCCCATCCCAGCCCTGCCCAATCTTGTGACTGGCTCCTGCCATAGCCCTGGGGCTGAGCCGCTGGAGCACAGCTGGATGGGGATGCAGAGGGGGTTCACCGGGGATGCAGGCAGTCCTGGTGCCCATGGTGGGCAGCTCAGGATCCTCAGCCACCCCTGCTCTGTCCCCAGGCTCCGGGTGAGGAAACACAGCAAGGATGAGACCAAACCCCACAACTTCTTGGTTGCTGCCACCCACCTGAAGGCACTGCCAAGTGAGTCAGGGGGAAGGGGGTCACAGGGCAGGGGGGCTCCCTCCGCTGGTGCCCTGGGGAAGGGGGAAGGCAGGGCATTGTCCCCCTGTGACCTTCTATACTCTCTCTCGGCAGAGGCACAGATCCTGTAGTGATCCCTAGCCGATCCCTGCACCTGCTGACCCATGTGTGGGATTTGATGCCACTGCTGGCCCCCAAGGACCCCACACCTCCCAGGGTCACCCCACAGCCGTGGACATTGCTGGAGCTTCCATCACCTTGGGCATGCAGGATGGACTGTAAGGACAGAGGGGCTGCTCCCAGGAGCTTTGGACTGCCTGTGCCTGCCAGGAGCTGGCTGGAGGCACCTCAGACTGAGGGCAATGCTCTCCAGGCGCTGCTAAACATATGGGGATGATAACATGGGGATAAGATGCTGAGCCAGCCCCACTTCACTGCCTGGTGTTGAGGGGAATCATGGGTGCAGGCTCCCAGGGGTGCCGGGCATCAGTGAACAGGGGGTGGTGATCATCATGCCCCCACCAGCCGTCAGCAGGCAGAGAGGACCCCTCCCCATCCCTCTGCCCCTTGCCCTCATGCTGTGGCTGGATGGAGCAGTGTTGCCAATAAAGAGGGTAGTGTTGGCACTGCCCAGGCAAGCAAGACCCTCTTGCAGATGGTGCTGGGCCAGGGGAGAGGTGGGTGGCACTGGGTGAGATGCCAGCTTAGGGACAGTCCTTGCAGGGGTGCACAGGCAGCAGGGCTGGTCCCCAAAGAAGTCAACCTCCTCCACAGGTGTCTGGAGGGCCTGAGAGAGACCCTCACCCAGGCCAGCCCTTGCTGAGTGCCAGAAGAGGACACAGGCAGCTGCCTGGGGCATCTCTCCTGCCCTTGCCAGCCCAGCAGCAGGACCCTCTACACAGCCCCCCTCACTCAGCATGTGGCCCTCTCCCAACACCTCGACCCGGCCCCTCTAATGGCTTCCATGTGTTGGCACCTCCCGACCCCTGTGCTCAGTGCCAGCAGCCCGATGAGATCCAGATGGGGCTGAGTGGAAATTCAGACAGCGGCAGCACGGGGAGCAGAGCCAGCACGGAGCGGGTCCCTGTGCCCATGCCGCCAGGGAGATGTGTCACTCCCGGCTGGGCCCCAGGGTCGCCCTTGAACCTGGGGTGCAGAGGGAGCCTGGAGTGGGGCACCTCCCAAAGAGTGCTCATGGGGACTGGGTCAGAGGGGACCAGGGCAGGGCTGTGCCTTTTACAACGGCTTGTGTGCCCATGGACACCTCTACCCTCGCTGGGTGGGGGCATGGGGGTTGCCCGTGCTGGTCCTTGGCTTTGCAGGGTCCCAGCCCCTCACTGCTGCTGGTGAGTGCACTCACCCTCAATGGGGGAGAGGGGGGTCAGCCCTCCATCTGTAGTGTGCTACTGGGGTGCCACCATCCTTGGACAGGAAAAGGGCTCTCCACAGAGCAAGTAAGGTCACCAAGCTGGGGATGTATAAGGGGCCAGATCCTGCCTGGGCTTCTGGGCCTAACGGCCACATCCCCTCTCCTGGGTGCATCCCAGAACTTGCCAGCTCCACCTGTGTCATGCTGCCATCACCTGCTGGACTCTGGTCCCCAGCATCGAACCCAGCCAGCACCCTTTTTGATGTGTCACGGTCAACCCTGTCTCCCCTTGATCCCCAGTATGGCATGGGCAGCCTTTTCTGCTTGGAAACCAGCTCTTACCAACGCCAGATCCCCCTCCCTGCCAGTGTCGAGGGGATCAGGGCTGCGGTTGTCCATAGGTTGCTGTTGAATGTGGATGATGTCCATCCTGTAGCTGTGGCTCCAGTTTTTGCAAACTGAGCTTAGTGGTTTCCCAGCACCTGGTGCTGGTTTAGAGGCTGACGCCTGCTTGAGATGCAGGAGTGCAACAGCCAGAAAATGGGAGAGAGTGTGAGCTGGCAGCTCTGGCCACCGCACCCTGCCTGCTTATAAACTCCAGAAAGTCCAGGAATTCTCCAAACAGAAGGGGGTTGCTGCTGGACAGGGGGAGCAGAGACCACCAGAGCCTCGCACATCCACGAGGGAACATGTGCCTGTGTTGTGCAGGCAAGCGCAGGTGGGTAGATGAGAAATGACAGGCAGAGAGAACCCATAGCTGTGCTCTCCCTGTGTGCCAAGCCCTGTGTCCCTGTTATTAGCTGGGGCTCATCTGGCCAGGTGGTGGGGACACCTAGTTCTGGTGACCAGGGCAGCTCAAAAGCAGGAGATGCACATCTGGTCCTCATCACCACATCCTGCTGCCCCTGGCCCTGGAGGGTGACCTCTTTCCTCTCTGATGGAAGCTTTAGAGACAGGGCGTGCCACCCGTTTGGCAGCTAGACATACCAAGAGCAGGCAAGAGGTCTGTATGCCACCATGCAGTGCTGCCCACCTGCACTCAGCTGCCTGCTGGGATTCCCCACGGCCCTGCCCCACAGCCTGTAAATGGGACACGCAGGCACCGGGGACCCCAAGGAAGCAGCAAGTGCTCGGGCGGCTCAAGATGCTTGGTGCTGGGTGCTGCACTCGCAGCTGCCCAGGGGTGGGATGTCCCAGAACTGGATGTGGGAAAGCAGGGCTTTCCACTGGACCAGTGAGGGTGCAGGGAGAGGGCTGGGGTGAACAGCAATCTGGGATAAAGGAGAGGGCTCCAGATGCCAAAGTCAACTTTGCCTTCAAGCCGTGGAGAAGAAAAACAGGAAGGGATCATGAGAGCAGTCCCCGCGCCGGCACCTCCCTGTCCCACCACAGGGCCAGGGCACTTCCTCCAGGGCTCGGGCTCCTCGGTGGCTCGCCCAGCTGCTGAGCAAGCGGGAGGCTTCCTGCTGCAGGCTGGAGCCCTGCCTGGACGCACCCTGCCCAGTGTCGGCAGAGGCACTTCCAAACTTGCCTTGCTGTATCCCACCCTCCTCAGGGCGGGTGGTGTGCCAAGATCGTGGGGGAAGCTGGTACAAGCCAGGGCTGGGGATGCTGAGGCTGCGCCAGGGTGAAGCAGCCTGTTGCCTGCATCCACAAGGAGCAGGGATGGGTCCAGCTCCCTGTCATGGGACAGCGACCAGCCCAAGCCCAGCAGGAGAAAAATGCAGGACAATATGGCCCAAGTCCTGCTGAGGGCCTAAAATTTCCATCAGGCAATGCCAGATGCCAGGGAAGGTCCCCCAGTGCAGGAAGGCTCCTGTCTGTGCTCTGAGTCTCCATACAGCACAGGGTGGCCCCAGCCAGAGCATCTCTTGGGCAGGGGCTGGGGGGCACCCACCACCCACCTGTGTGCAGGGGTGTTCGAGAAAGTAATAGTCTGGGCCAAAGCCATTGCGGCAGGGCACCAGTTGTGGACAGTTGTGCAGCGGTGCCTGGGCTGCTTGACTGCAACCAACCCTGCCAAATATCTGGGCTGGCCCTCAGGCCCAGCCTCCTCCTCTCCTTGCCTTGCTGCCAGGATCAGCCCGCATTTTGCAGGGGAGGAGGCGGGTTGCACAGGACTGTGAAGCAAAACAGTCTCAACTTACCTCTCATGGCTGCTCCTGCTTCCTTCTCTGCCGCATCCTGCCAGGGAAAGAAGTAGAAGCAGCTCCAGAATATTGTGGAAGCCTTAGGGACATGAAACACATGTATGTCATGAGGCAAGGGAGAAGGGAAAGGGTACGTATACAGTCAGTGGTTCACGGTTGGCAGATCTATGGCAGTACATAGATTGGTTGGCAGAAGAAGGTGGGGATGGATATATGGATGGATAGACAGTTTGGACAACCAAATACCATCCTAAGCATCGAAGATGCTCATTGCGCAGGGTCTGACTTGTGAAGACAGCTGGGTGGCCATAAGGCTGGCAAAGGGAGGCCCATGGGCAGAGTGAGGATGGTGTTTGGGAACCAGTCCCAGGTGTGACCCACGCACCCAATCCCCATGGAAGTAGCATCACAGCTCACATGAGAAGACAGAGCCCAAACCGTTACTGGTGCACATCCTGAGAGTGTCATGGGAGAGCATGGGGCAACTCCAGAGGGACTGTGCCCCCCCTCAGGAGCCACTTCCATCTCATGCTGTCCAGGCACTGGGAGTGGAGGAGCAGCAGGAACCCTGCCCAGGAACACTGCAAATACAAACACAAATGCTTTAAAAATCCAGCACAGTTTGTTCACGTGGGCCATAGCTTTAATCTCATCTGCACACTGCACATGGGATAGCCCTGCCTGGAGTCTTTCTAGAGGGTCCAAGCCCCCAGCCTACTGGAGACCCCTGAGATCACTTGTACTCCCTCTGTTTCATCTGCCTCCCTTTCTGGCTGCCACTGGCCTGCAAACTCCTTGCACATCATCTACTCTTTCCTGAAAGAGAGAAAGGGAGACATCACCTGCCAGGCCAGATGTGCTGGCACCCAAACAGATGTGGAGAAGAGAGAGAGGCCTGAGACATCTCTTCTTGTTGCCCCATTGTAGGCTTCTCCCTGCAGGAAGGGACTGTTTCTTTCTTTGCTTGCTGAGGCTGCCCCCCTCCTGTGGCCACAGAGATGCTGGGAGGCTAAAGCCAGCAGCTTAGCTGTACCCCAGCACTGCTGCTTGTGATGGTCTCGGGAAACGTCTGCTCCCTCCTCAAAGCAGCAGCAGCTCTTTGGATGAGCTCACTGAGCCCACGGCTTTCCTGACGGCTTCTTTCACACTGAGAACAGGCCTGTTGTCCAAACAAGAGTTCCCAGTATTTCGTGCACCTGCCATGAAGTGCAGTGGCACTGGGGGACACATGCAGTCATGTCGCTTTTCAGAGCAGTGCCCACTGCATATTTCCCATGCACACATCTCTGCTGTGAGTAAGGACCGTATCTCCTCAATGCTGCCACGTCACTTGCTCAGAGGAGATATCTCCCCCCTTCCCCGTGGCAGAAACTCTGTCTTCTCCTCCAGCTGCTTCCAAAGCTGTGGGGACTGAAACATGTGTGAAGCATGATGCTTTGGGAGCTGCCCTGGGGAGGCTCCCTACCTGCTCGTCTCCCAGCAGCGGCACCTTGTGGTCCTCTGGATCCACTGTCACATCAGCTGCTTCGTCTGCAGGAGCAGACCAAGCAAAGAGACGTTATGGACAGCATGGCCCAGCCCTATGCAGGAGCTCCTGAAACAGCTGAGGGAC